CTCACTTGTGATTTCATTACAGCCTACCTATGCTTTGTAATAATCTCCTTATTAAACTTTCTTCAAATTACCTAAATTGAGTATGCCATCTGTTTCCTTATGGGAACCCTGACTGATAAAACATACTTAAAAATATTTTAGATTCTGTCAGTGGCTATTGTAATTCTAAGTTTATTAGCACTAGAATAAGGAAAAAATTACTCTGACAATTTCATGAATTTATTCTGTTGGCTGGTGTGATTTTATTTTTAATTCCTCCTTCAGATCTGGTTTTGAGGTAGCAATCTTTTTATTGAACACTTAATATGGCACAACCCTTTGCTTTAAGCATTACGAGGAGTCCAGAAGTAAATGAGACACATGCTCGATAGTTCTAATACAAGGCAGATTGAAATGAGTTTCCTGCAAGAGGTACAGAGTACCAGAAGAGGAGAGAGAGTGTTTTATCAAGACTGCTTTGATTCTGTCTGCAGTAGAAACCCACTATTTCCTGTGTTCTGTGTCTGCAATAGAAACCCACCGTTTCCTGTGTTCTGGTGAGACCTCCCTTCCCAGTCTTTGCTTATCTCATCTCTCCATAACTCACCATTGCAAACCACTTAAGGGACCAGGCCCAAAAGTAATATAGCTATTACTATTTGAAATCACTATATATGCCTCTTCTCAGTGTAAAACATATTAACTGATTAAACCCACTTAACCTCCCTGTGGTAGGTTTTATCATTATTTGTAGTTTACAGGTGAAGAAAAATTAACTTGCTCAAGTCACATTGCTAACAGAGTTGAAATTCTAACTCACGCAGTCTGATTCCTTAGTCCAGGTTCATTAACTACCACAACCACCACCTCTTCCATGCTTAGAACTGATTATCTACCTCCTCTCAAAAAGATCCTCACAACTAATTCCATTATGTGTTCAGCCCTTGCAAATGATGGCTTTTAGTAGGTGTTGTTTTTTCTCCTCAGTGCTGTTTTTAGTCCCTCACTCCCATGCTCCTCATGTCAATAGATCTTATCACCTGTTGTGTCTTGTTACAGTCATACCAATCAGTCCCCCTCATTCATTTTAGATTTTGGCACCCTAAATACTACCTTTTTTCCAGGAATGTTCACCATTTTGGCAGTCCCAGTATCCACATAAATAATCCATGTGGCCTCTTGAATTCGTTGATCTCTTCTCTCCAGTGATCCTTCATACCGTTTTAGACTTTTTATTTATTGATAACTGTATCATCTCTTAGATTTCAGTTTCAAGCATCCAGTTCTGTGACCACCACTGATCTCTCTTCCCAGCTTATTCTCTGTAATACCCAACTGCAGCAATTTTGGGACAGTCATCAGGACTTCATTTCACTGACCTCCATTCCTTCATTTTGTTAAACCTCTGTGTTGTCCATCACCCTCATCATGTCTTCATTTTTATTAACCTAGCTGAGATACATGATGTGTTATTATAACAACCCCTTTCAACACTGATTAAAGCCAACATTCTACCTACTCTGTACCTAAACAGCCAGACGAGGCCAGAGAAAAACCTACTCTTCTGACTGGTTTCACTTTAAAACTATTCGTGGCCCAAGTCTTCAGTGCTACCTACATTCTTAGTTGATTTACTCTTCTTCTTCAAACCTCGAAAAACTTTTCCTTTTAAGTTGATGGTGTTTATTATTTTACTAAAAAAACAAAAAAGCTAGAAAAGAGACTGTGTACTCTCCTTCCTATTAGCAAATGTACAAGCCTGAAAGAGAGCAATTTTAGTAGAATGGTGGGAGCAAAAGCCAACTTTTCAAGGATTAAAATGTGATTAGGTCATAAGGACATAGACACTGATGTTTTCCCAGGTGTGTCACTGGAATGCTGGCTCTGTTAAATGAATCTTGCCCAATAATAGGTTCACTGGCTAAATTTGGGAAATACCAAAAACTATATATAGTCTGAATCTATCTATCTATCTTTCTATCTATATCTATATCTGGTACAGAGACAAGGAGAGATGAATAAAATTATGGGTAGAAAGTTCATTGGCCTAGATTTTACTAAAGCATTGGTTTTCAGACTTTAGCCTGCTTCAGAATAACCTGGAGGACTTGGTAAAATCAGACTGCTGGGTATCACTTAGAGGTACTGAATTCGTAGCGTAGGTCTTGGATGGCTCCTGAAAATTTGCATTCCCAGCAAGTTTTTAGATAACAGTGATGCTGCTGGTCCAGGGACTTGGGGAATCGCATTTTGAGAACCTCTTGAGAAAGAATTCAACTGCCAAAAGTGTCAGGAATATATAGGATTTAGAGGAACATAGGAAATAGCTGCTGTGGGGTAACGAATGTAGTAGGAAATTAGAGCTGATTAATAACATCGAGGAACTTCGACACTGAGAAAGCATGAATTTGTAGTGGACCCACCCAGCTATTTTTAATGACTTTCTCTACCAGTTTGACCTGTCAGAGAGCAGGAACAGAACCACAGTAGTTAGTACAGAATTTTGTGTGAATCAAATGTCTATAAAGTTTACCATCAAGCCCTCTATCTTTGCTATGTATTACCATTATGAGTGCCAAGATGGCAGCTCTGTGATCTGTCTGCAGTCAGCCCATCTCTTTCATTTTATTTATTTATTTGTATGCTTATTATTTGTTCATTTATTTTAAGTTTTAAAAGTTGTATAATGGTAGGTAGTAGGGGTTTTGGAATGCAGAGACTAAATGTGATAAAGTGTCCTTAACTAATTTTATCAGTTATAGTTAATAGGTCTATGGCTTTGGGCAGATCACAACCATGTCTCATTTTCTCATTTGAGAAATTTTAAAATAGAAAAATTATAAACTTCCAGTCTTCTCTTTATGAATGTAATTGTAAAGCCACAGAATCTTTAAAAATTACATTTTGGAAGAATTGTTGGTTAGGTTTCTGCTTAAGGAGAGTCCCATGTAGTTGTTTCTGAGTGGCTAAATATTTATTGGACAAGCTGGGCCTCTTCAAGATTCATAGTATTTCTGGCAGTAAGTTGTATTACTGTTCCTGAATGTCTGTATTTGTCAGGCTTTGCCACAAAAATGTTTTTATAATGGGATTGTGCCTTAACCTAGGCCTTACAGGTGTCAACTGTTTCTGCCTTATCACTTTATCTGCACTGAGCTTGGAATAGAAGGGAACCAAAAGAAATGTTGTTTTGGAACATGTTTTTCTGTCCTTCCTCTTGTATTTCCTGTCCTTCCTCTTATTTCTCCCTTATCCAGTTCACTAGTGAGCAGGTAAGATTGAGAAGGATGCTTTTCCTTCTCTGATTTCTCAAATATTTGTTGGGGTTTTTGAAACCAGATACTATGTTCTTTTCACAGTGTCATAATTGGTTATTCCTTAAAATAATATAATTTTGAAAACTCATGGACTTGTTTTTGATAATTTTACTGAAGAATATTTGATTACAGTATCTTGTGCATATTTAAAGTACACAATTTGGTAAGTTTTGACTTGTATGTACCATGAAACCACCACCACAGTGACAAGATAACATACATTTTCGTTATCCCCTAGAGGTTCCTTGTGCCCTTTTGTAATGAATCCACTGATCCACTTTTTAGTGCTATAGATAAGTTTATGTTTTCTGAAATTTAAAATGAATGGAATCATACAGTGTATACTTTTGGGGGAGGCTGACTTCTCTTAGCATAATGATCTTGAGGTTTATTCATGTTGTTTCTTGTAGCAATATTTCCTTTTAATTGCTGAATAGTATCTTACTTTGGATATTTCACTATTTGTTTCTCCATTCTTCTATTTATGGACATTTAGTTTGGGGTTATTGTCAGTAAAGCTGCTACAAATATTTGTGTGCAATCTGAGTGTGGAAAAGCACTTTAGTTTTTCTTGGGTAAATACCTAGAA